AAGCAAGCTCTGGCAAGCTTTTGGTGGTTGTTATATGTTTTTGGCAAAATTTTTGTTTTTGGTACTGAGGGTTGAACCCAGGGATGCTTCACCACTGATCCACATCCCCAGCCCTTTTTATTTTTTATTTTAACATAGGGTCTCACTAAGTTGCTGAGGCTGGCTTTGAACTTGTGATTCTTCTGCCTCAGCCTCCTAAGTCACTGGGGTTACAGGCATACCCCATTGCACCTGGTTGCAAGTTTTATTAAAGAAAAATTTTTACATGGCTTTATCTTCACCAGTCTGTTCTGGCAGATTTTTAATGATATCCACCTGGTTTGAGGATAGACAGTGTGCATATTCTAGTACTTTTTGCATGCTGTGCCCAATTCATTATTATTGCCACTGTAGTGGTGGACACCAGTTTTGACTAACATGGCACAGTACTTTATTTCAGATTTTCTCAAAGCTGGGCAGTTGGTGAGGATGACCAATTTTGCTTTGCACTATCTGGTCACCTTAAGAGTCTGCTTGTACCCCAGAGCATACTTTCCACTTTTCATAACAAGCTGGAACCTAGAATTCATCAAATCCAGGGACTTTTTCATCTTCTTTGTGGCCACCATCTTCCTGCCTTAGGTGTGGGATAGTTCCCAACCAAGAACAGCACCAAGATAGTCTGGGAATGAGAAGGGAAGCTATGTCTTTATTTTGAAATGTATTTATGTAGTCATAAAACTTGCCTGAGATGTAAATATATGACTTACTATACAGGTTTCCTGTTTTGTCAGGTTGTCTAGATCCTGTTATGGATTTAAGATTATAGAAAGTATCCTCCATCAAAATTGAGGTTATGTATGGGAGAAGTATTATGTCTTTAACAAGTTTTCAGTTAATACTTTATTCTATAAATAGGAACACAGTATGCAAAGTATGGGCTTATTTTATATATTCATATAATGTGATGTACCTTTCATTCATCCTCTCTCATCTGGGATCTCAGACTTTAAGAATACTCAGATAATAAGTTTATTTTTTCTGCAAGCTATTTTTTTTTAAAGAGAGAGAGTGGGAGAGGAGAGAGAGAGAGAGAGAGAGAGAGAGAGAGAGAGAGAGAGAGAGAGAGAGAGAGAGAGTTTGAGAATTTTTCAATATTTATTTTTTAGTTTTCAGCAGACACAACATCTTTGTTTGTATGTGGTGCTGAGGATCGAACCCCGGCCACATACATGCCAGGCGAGCGTGCTACCGCTTGAGCCACATCCCCAGCCCTGCAAGCTATTTTTAATATATTTCCTTTGCCTAACTCCTTGTCAACTAAAACACTTTAATTTCTTAGCTAGTGAAATTACACCAGCTCAGCAATGTGACATTATCCCTTCTGTGTATCTTATTCATAGATTAGAAAAATGACCATAATTCAGTTATGACTAAATGCAATTTAGCAGAATAACTATTTTAAAATATCAGCTCTATAAGGAAAAACAAAGGAAAGACCTTGTAAGAAATGAAAGATTGCTGAAAACCTATCTACAATGTAGATAAGTCTTTAAGAAATGGGAAAAGACTATTGCCTAACAGGGATTAGAAAAAGAGATATAAAACAAATGAGGGAAGCCAGATTTGGTGGTACATGTCTGTAATCCTACTACTCAGAGGCCTCTAAGTCAGGATGATAAGTACAAGGCCAGCCTGAGCAATTTAGTGAGAACCCGTCTTAAAATTTTAAAAAAGGGCTGGAGATAACCCCTGGAATCAATCCGCAGTACTGGAAAAAAAAAAAAGAATGAGTATCAAAGACAAACTCAGGACTACTTTGCTAGACTTGTTTATCTTCCTGCTTTTGAAACACTGGAATTATCCCTCTAGCTGAAGCAGCTTCCAAATATTTCTTGGGTAATGGTGCCCCCTTCTGGGATAACTGATGTGATTCTGAAACCCTTTGTATAGCTTGATTCAGAATATCTACTAAGTAATTGATTTAAGAAACATAACTCCCTCCAAATATTAAATATTTTAAAACTATAATGATTTGAATTAGGAGTTAAATTCATACATAAATATACATGTTCTAAATTGCTCAAAGAGGCCTCCTTTCCAATGCTTCAAAACCTTAAGCTAGAGTACCTTTTTACCTCATTTTTGTAGTACTGTATGTATTAGCAAATCCTCCCAATTTCTTGCACTGTCAGAATTACTGTTCTCACTTTATTAACACGTTTTTAAAGTTGAGTTGGCCAAGATTACATGGCTTGCAATGGGAGAGATATTCTCTTCCCTTACTTTCTTTGTGCTTCTCCTTAGAACCATCTGCATTCTCTATCCCCAAAGTCTCTTATCAAGTTATAATTACTCCTTAAACTATTTCTTGTCTTAATATTTTAAAATGATGGTTATATTCCTGTTGAAACAAAAATTCTACATGCAGATGTAAAATGTTGTATTCAATGGCTTTTTTAAAAAATTCAACTTTCTAAATGTAGAATAAAAATTAAAATCTAGCCCTGTTTGTTTTGCGATGCTGGATATCTAACCATGGGCCTTGAGCATGCTAGGCAAGACTTCTACCACTGAGGTACATCCCCAAGCCCTCTAGTTTTGAAAATAACTACAGAGAAGAATTAAGTTTAAAATTAGTCATCTTATTTTAGATCTTAAAGGCCACAGAGTATAATAAGTTAAGGCCAAAGGCATGGAAAAATCTTTACAGAAATTTGGACAGAGTAGCAGATAAAACACTGAAACTCTTAAAATTTTGCAAAAGAGATTATATCAGTGACTCTTAAGATATATGGAAAATACATTCTAATAAGATTGTATTTTGGAGCCAGGCACTGTTGAGCATATCGGTAGATCTAGCTACCAGCAAGGCTGAGTCAGGGATGCTTGAGCCCAAGAATTCGTGATGATATTTTGGATTATTGTGAATTTTAAGTATTCACCCATAGTATGCCTCCCCTTGTTTCCAGATTTCATCATCAGAAATAAGTTTTTGAGGCTTTTTTTTTTTTTTAGAGAGAGAGAGAGAGAGAGGAGAGAGAGAATTTTATTTTTAATATTTATTTTTTAGTTCTCGGCGGACACAACATCTTTGTTGGTATGTGGTGCTGAGGATCGAACCCGGGCCGCACGCATGCCAGGCGAGCGCGCTACCGCTTGAGCCACATCCCCAGCCCGAGGCTTTTTTTTTTTAATGGAAAAATAATTCCCCATTTCTGTTTTCTAGTTGATTGATGCAAGATGATATCCACTCATAACTTACACATGTCACCCAAATATTTTACAGCTGAGCCACTCCTTGGTCATGCAATTAGCTTTGTTTACACTGATCCTTTCCACCTGGCACAAATTAGGTAGAGAAAATTTAGGGATTAAAAAGGGCTTGTACTGTGACAGAAGGTCATTCTGGAACATACTATTAGTTGCTTGAACATGGAGAACAGAAAAGGCTAGTAGTACTTTTTTTCAGACCTGCTGTTATGAGCTCTGACATACAAATGAGTGGCTAGAGTCCTGAGGAGTTAAAACTTTATTTCATTCACATGTGATCTTCGACCACAGATATTAACATTTGTTCCTTTTATCCTAATCTATGTGGCATTCTACATCTACTTCATGTTTCTATGCACATCATACCCCTTTGTAGGGCTACAAAAACTACCACAGTAGGATTGGCAGTGAGTGTAAGGGATTGGGACAAAAGAATGTAGAAAAGCACAGAAATGCATAACTAATCTCATAACCTAGGGAGTCGAAGAAGATGCATTTTCCACCAACATTAACTGAATACTCCCTGTGTTCATAGTATTGAATTCATAAGGTTACATTTAAACATGTTAGCCCTTGACTTCAGGCCAACCCATAATTGCACAAAAGGCCTAAAGCAATCACTAATTTGAAGTTCCAGTTGTTATTCAGGACCAACCTAAATTCCACATATAACTTTGCTAAGGCTCAAGTTTCATGCTCCTGTTAAAAGGCTTGTGTGTTAAAAGATACTGTCAAGTGTTTTATGAGACGGCCTTGCACCAGTTTGTTTTCTTGTTCTCCATCCAGGAGTACAGTTGTCTGGTTGAAGACATCATGAACAGACATGGTTCTGAGAAGCAAGCCAGGAGCTAACATTAATGATAGCAGAAAAGGTGACATGCTAAGACAGTTATCTTTTCTATTGATAAAAATTTTCAGTTGTATAAGATTGTGTTAAAAGATAGTTAATTCCCATCAGTAAAATAGTTTTTCATTGGAAATAGTCTTTTGTCGATGACATTTAGGCTTATTAACTTTAGCAGAAACTGTTAGGTTTAATTAAGAGCTTTCAGGTTGATGTGGCAGATCTTGGATTCAAGAAATAAATTCTCTAGTCCTGACTGTGCCATTCCTTTCTCGGGTGGGTTTAGTTTCCTCTCAAGTCAAATGGGAAGCGTCAGAAGCACTAACATAAAGCAAGAACTAATTCGTTGACTACAACCTGAGACTGCAGGCACGGACGTTCATCCGGCCTTACTTTCACCTCTGGCCCACGCCAGAACCTAGAAAGCCCCTTGGCACTAACGCCTGACTTCAGCCCTCGCGTGAAGCCGTTGGACGTTAACGCCTCCCGCCTCCGTGGAAGGCAGCTGCTTCCGGCGGCGAATGGTGAGGCGGCGCTTGGCGCTCCTCACCCACCTCTGCACAGTCCTGACCATGCGCCAGCCACCTGCGCGCTTCGGCCCCTCTCCATCGCCGTTGGGGAGCGACCTAGCCCCAGCGGTGCATGCTGGGAAGCTCCGAAGAGCCTCAGTGGTGCCGTGGACTGTTCGGAGTGGGGGAGGGGGTGAGAAACCGAATCATTTATGCTAATCAGTGAGCTCATCCTTTACGGACATTGGCTAGGTTTTTACTCTAGAAGCCAATCACTTCACAATAGGATGGGCCAGTGGAGATCTCTTACACTTATTGGGTGAGAGCTTGGAGCGGATAGAAGAGTTTAAACTATCCGGGATGATTCCCTCCCCCGCCGTGCGGTGCGTGTCCCGGAAGTGACGCACGGCCGTGGCCGGGCGGCCGCCCTACCCCCGCTTCCTTTCACGCTGTCGCTGCCCGTAGGTGGTAGTGGCCACTGTGCCCAGAGAGAGGTGGCGGCAACCAGTAATGCCGGGGAAACTCCTCTGGGGGGATATTATGGAGCTGGAAGCACCCTTGGAAGAGTCCGAGAGCCAGAGGAAGGAAAAGCAAAAGGTGCGCTGAGGATGGGCCGCGCCTCCTTATGGGCTGCGCCTGTTTGGGTGGGGAGGGGAATTGTCCCTGATCATGGCCTGTCAGGACCCAGTCCCAGCATCCGAGGGCCTCCCCTCAATCCGCGTAGGCCTTCTGAGGTCTCTCGGGGATCATTCCCAGGTCACACTCCCTACCTGGAGGAGGACGGCCCTGGGCTTTGGCCCGGCCTCTACTGGCTCTTCAGCTCTTCCCACTGGCGCCTGAATTCTCCCAAGAGATGGGCAGACTCAAGCTTCCGTCACTGCAGAATCTGTTATTTCTCTTTTCTTCCTAAAGCAGGGAAGCCTGTCATTTGCTTCTTCTGGACTGTCTTAGAAGATGATTAAGAAAAAATGATTGTCTTGAATATGTTCTGCCTCTTTGTCACCCTGATCTGTTGTGCAAGAATTTTGGGGAAAGTGATCTTAGGTTTAACTAGTTTATAGAGGATTTGAGAAATATTGTAACATCCAGAGTTTCTAGGATTGGGCTGTGGTGGAGATCGTGTTGGTTTTATTATTAATAACCCTTACTATCAGTATTTTCATTCAATCCACAGGTATCTATTGAGCGTAATTTGCACCAGACTCTGCTGAGTACTATGGAGTTTAAACTAATTAAGTATGAGAAATGGTTTCTCCCTTTGGGTTATAAGAGGCCCCCCCCTCCCATCCAAAAAAGAAAACTCTTGAAACTAGAGGATTGCAAGGTGCTGAAAAATGCACAGGTACTGGAGACGTTTAACCTGGAGAAAGCAAAGCTGAGGAGGATAAGGTAGCAGTTTTCAAAGTCTGACGTTGGATGAAGTAAGGTTTATTCCGTATAGTTCAGGAAAGCAGAAATACCTCTCCAACTTGTCGTTAAGGTAAACTTGCCATTCCAAGCAACTGGTTTTTCTTTTATTCTGGGGAAATATACAAAACTGAAAATTTACATTTTAGCCATTTTTCAGTGTAGTTCTAGTGGCATTAAATACACTTATATTGTTTTGCAGCCATCATCACCATCCATCTCCACAACTTTTTTCATCTTCTCAAACTGAGGCTCTGTCCTTTAAACACTAACTCCTCATTCTTTTCTCTTCCCAGCTCTGGCAACCATTATTCTACTTTCTGTGTCTATGAATTGACTGCTATAGGTACCTAGAATCCACTAAAATGGAATCCCCAGTTATTTTAATTTTGGCTCCTGTTGAAACTTCTTTTCCCTTTTGCATCCAGATGCTCTGTTGAAGATTAATTTATATCTTTTCTAACCACTCCAGTAATTTCCTTTTGAAGTCTTGTTCCAATACTGTCTTTATCATGCAAGAGGCATTTATTGTACACTTCCTTGTGAAATTCATTTTTCCTCGCTGTATCTTTTCTAAATATTTTCCAAAGATTCTTGAGGGAAATAGCCATATTTTTGTCTAATATTTCATTATATTCTTGTATGTTGGTGACTTTCACATTGTAAGTTCTCCAGAAATACTTGTTGATTGCACTTTATGAAGATAAACTAGAGATTTGAAAATGAATTGGAATACCAACTAATAGAGCATTAGGCTAGTTTTGGTGTTGAGATGAAGATAACCTTGGTTTGGATTACATTGAGATATGAAGATGAGTTATAGGTTCTTAAAACTGGAATGCAGGTAAGGAAGAGTAAGGAAGTGTGTGTTGAAAGTCATGAAAATGGCATAGAAGTGTACATGGACAACAGAGATTTAAGGTGTATCCACAGAAGTGGGAAAGGAACCAGAAGATGTGACAAAAGTAAGAGAATATGAAGGGCATACATCATATCAACTCACAAGGGTGAGGCAGGAGGATCACAAGTTCAAAACCAGCCTCAA